TGTCAATTCTATTATTTGTGCCAAGATTGCTGACTTCAGAAAAATTAAGCCTGTTATTATGTCAAAATGTCCTGTGTATTTAAGACTTCCATGGATTGAAGTAAATGGTGAAAACTTAACTAGGCAAATTTCTTCAAATATGCAGAACTGTTATTTTTCTGCTGAGATGCGTATTGTATTTGATACTAGATTGATTCTATCTTCTAGTCATAAGGATGTTCTCCCCCTCATCAAATAAGTTCTGTAGTTTATGTATGACTGTAGCTGCAGAGTCAGCTACATATTTAATGTGGATTGTTTCTCCATTTTAGTCAATTCATATTCACTATTTCATTTGAAAGTACTAGAGTCAGTTTACATCAGGTTTTGCAGACCTTCACTGTGTAAACAGTAAGATTGTTTGCTAGGCCTTGCAATGATTAGTCTCTAGTAGTTTCTTTCCTTCCTTCCCCACCCATTCCCATCAGTGATTCATTCATATCTCATATTTATTATATTTTACTTTAAATTCTCCCAATAAAGAAACTTTGATGGTTGCTTTTCCCTCCTTTTATTTTTTATCCCTCATTATGCCTTGTAATGTTAAACTTAATACTTTTAAAGCAATATATATATATATATATATATATATATATATATATATATATATATATATATATATACACACACATATATATATGGTAATGTGTGACGTCATGAGCTGGGGTGCGATTTTCGTTTCCAGCATCTCATATGGATGAGTTGGAAATTTTCCAATTAAACAAAAACAGATTATTATTATTGTTTTGTCCATGTATTGTTTAATATATTGTAATGCAATTGTCATCTTTGATAATGGCTTATGTAAGCTGAAATCTTAAATAGGATTAAAAAATATGTATAAATATTGTGATTTTCTTTCTTCTTTTAATGATAATGCTATTAAGCTTATCAGATGATATGAAAAGATTTTACATAAAATAAATAGGCAAAATTTGTCTATATTATTTAATGAAACATGCATCAATGAAAAAATGCTGTCTAAATACATACAATATATGTATATATATATATATATATATATATGAAAGAAACAGAGATAGAAATATATAAAGAATTACTAGACACCAATCAACTAAGGCATCCATTTCATTGAGCCAGATTTTGTATCAATTTCCTTTGGTTATTAGAGCCACCAAATTCTTTGACTTGGCCAGTATAAAACCAATATGTGATTCTGGTTGGTCACTGCTAACTCATTACATAATCAGCCTCAGTCAGGCAGTATCTAGTACATATCAGATGCAAGTATCCTTTTAAAGTAAAGGGACATTTTCAGATGGCATTTAGTGTATGCAAAATTTTATATCACTAAAAAAAATTAAAATAATAGGATTCAACACATGTTGGTTTTAATATCTCATGTCAAAATTTACAGTCAGGAGACATTTGGTAAATTCTTCTATTCTAAAAAGCATTAAAAATTGCTCTTATATTAAACTTAATTTTTGTTAAGAATTTACTGCAGAATGTTTTTTTTTTTTAAGTGATGAAGAAATTGTTTTGATTAGCATGCAAAAATCTGGTAGTCATGGTCAGTTGCAAGTATACCAGATTATTCCAATAAATATAAGTACTCAACCATTGAAATATTAAGCAATTTTTTGTTTACCAATTTAGCAAACTCCTTATATCTGTGTATGTGTTTATAACCTAATGGTTAAATATAGATAAGTATATAAGCACGTGATCATATACAAATACATATGAATCCTCTATAGTGTAAGAAAAAACAGTGCTCAATATTAAGAAACAGAGCTATTTAATATATATATATATATATATGAAGAAATATATATATCTTACATTAATGTAAGACATTGTGCATATTTCTCAATTATATGTGTGTGTGTATATATATATATATATATATTTAATTAATTCATCAAGTCTAATAGAAACCTCAACAGAATGCAGAAAGCACTGGGACTATATTTGGGACTCATCAGCAGTGCGCATCCACTACCGAGAATTGAAACCCTGAGAGGTTGTCAAGCGAACATCATACCAACTGTTCCAAATGGGCCTCGGTGATGAAGAGATTCCAAATCAGACTCAACTAACGCCGCTCACTCACATATTCTGTGGTGGAACTCAACTGAGTTCTCTGTAACCATAGGACTGTGCCCCCTGGAGCTATGACTACTCTCACGAAGCCGCTACCAACTGGAGCATCAGAAGCCGGTTCAAGCAATGATAAATGATTTGTGTTTATCATCGCTTGAACCGGCTTTTTTTGTCCGAGAAAACTGTTGGTACGAATAATACAAAGATGAGGTGAAAGTTTCTTCATCCAACACACTTCCCAAAATCTGACCAAATATTAGGTTTATTTTGGAAGGCCTTGGTGAGTCAAGAACTTTTCAGCACCCTCTCACAAATGTCAAATTCATGTAATTCATTATGCTAATAAATTCTATGTAAAAATCCCAGATGTAAAATATACCTATTCTTTTTTAATGAAAGTATTTCTAAATCTCCAGCAATGTAGGTTCAAAACTGACCGTATCAAAAAACATCTGGTATCAGTTCATTTGTATACTTGTAAAACCCACAATATTCAAGTACCGATAAATCTGTCAACACTTGTCGGAAATTAAATTCATTTAAAATCAAAGCCACAATATTTACCATCAAGTTATTCAAAGATTTGACCACTTGTTTGTTCATTTTTCTTTTTTTTTAAATCTAGCATTTGTGAACTTTTGGTGGTTGTGAACTGAAGCAAACAATAGCAAGGGGAAGGCGAGTGAATCGACTGATGTGAGAAATGTAACTGGAGTCATGTTGGCACCATAATTGCAAGACATAACAGAAAGCAAGGCATTTTGCCAAAGACTATAATTCCATCATTTGAAGTGCAACATTGCTTGAAGGTTTTGCTTGGTTTGCCACTAGATGGAGACTGGCCAGTCATACAGCCTGCCAAATGCAGTAAAGAAAGACTGCTCAGTTGGAGAAAACCAATATAAACATTGATAACCAGCTGGACGCAAGGTTTTATACAGCCTACAGGTATCAGAGACGATTATTGAAAGATTAGCATTGAAATCAGGCAAGGAGAAAGCAATAAAATATTGCTGAAAACTTCAATAATTAGGAAAAAAAGCAGATATATAAAAACTCTGAAAACTTTTGTTAATTTGATTTTCATTTGATTTTGTAAAGGAGATTTGGGGAGAAGGTTGTTGACAAATACCTGGGAGATGCAAGATTTGAAAAGAAGGTTCTTGATAAATAGCTTGGAGATGCAAGACTCAGGGAAAAGGTTGATGACAAATACCTTGGCACTACAAAATTTGGAAAGAAGGTTGTTGACACATAGCTTGGAGATGCAAGATTTGGGGAGAAGGATGTTGACAAATAACTTGGAGATGAAAGATTTGGAGAGAAGCTTGTTGATAAATGACTTAGTGCTACAAGATTCAGGGAGAAGGTTCTTGATAAATAGATTAGCAATACTAGATTTGAGGTGATGGTTATTTACAAGTAGCTTAGCAATTCAAGATTTCGAGAAAAGGTTAAGGACACATAGTTTGGTGCTAAAAGATTTTTTTTAAGCGTTTCACCCCAAGCAAGGCGAGAAGCCACTAGAACGCAAGGGGTTACAGAAAATTTGGAGCAAGATCAGATAGAAGAAAGGATGAAGAGAAGGGTAGTGGATAAATCAAGGCAACTGGAATATGGGAAGAAGGTTTTTTACAAATAGCTGAGCAAATACATGATTTGGGAAGACAGTTGTTGACAAATAGCTTGAAGCTGTAGGATTTGGGGAGAAAGTTGTTTATAGCTGGGCACTTAAATTTGGGAAAAAGGTTGTTAACATATAACTTGGTATGACATGATTTGGTAGAATATTCTGTTGATTCTTAAATTCCAGTGATCATTGGAATTTGGAACATGAACAAAGAAGTCATTATTTACTGAGGGAAATAAAAAAACATTTTAATTTACCTGGAATGATTTTGATTTAATCTTTTTGTTGTGGAGTAAATAAGACACACTCAGTAAAACAAATGAGCTAGACAAAATGCCTTAAATAAAGAACTCAAAGTGAGTCCAGAGAAGTCCATCAGTCAGGAAGAACTCTAATGATGTCACAGCGAGTAGCCTAAGGGAGATATAATATTATGACTGCTAGGAGTGAATTCTAACACTTTTTGAAAAAGATTTAAAGTAAAACCCAAGTAGAATTGAAGGAAACAAAATGTTTACATAAAAGTGTTTTCTAAGAAATACAAAATAAGAATTTCTAGAATATTCTGCAATACAAATTTCACATTTAAAAATCTAAAAATATTTCATTCAAAATTAAACACCTGTTTGTATCCATAATGATTAGGATGCATCATGATGTCTTCTTTTGAAGTTTTATTTATAGTGAACTTAGTGTTAGTCAGATGTGGAATAATATTGGAATAAAAGTGGAGACAATATGGAAAAGCTATTCAGCTATGCATTTTTCCCCTTTCAGGTAGGTTACTTTAGGTTAGAATGAGAGACAAACTTGCATGTGAAGAAAATGTGTTGAAATATGGGGTAAAGGTAATAAAAGTCCTTATCAGATACTATAACCAAAAAGTTTTATTATTCTTTCTGTATTGAAGTCTTTAACATTTGTTAGATTTGAAATTTAACCCATTCTAAATAAATCACTTTTTTTTCTCTATTAGTTCACTCATATATAAACTCCAGATTTTGAGGAGCTGGGGAGAAAAATAAAGAATAAATTGTTTTGCTGCTCATGAGTGATATGATCGTTGATTCTTCTGAGAATTTCAGCTACAAGCTATTCTGGGAATATAGGAATAACGGATAAACAATTTGACACCAAGTTCTTCCTTGGAACAGTATCGTATCTCACACTCTGTCTCGAACTAGCCTTGTATTTATGTCCTCTTCTTAACTTAGTATTTACAAATTAAGTTTCCCATGCTATTCTGGTCAAATCAGGGATGCTTACATCCATAACATGTCGAAATACTAGTTCCCATATGATCAGTAAAGTTATGCAATGTTGAGACTGTTCAGTACCTAGATGGGTGACCACTTGGGAATACCAGGTATTGTAAGCTTCGATGGGTGGGTTATACAATGGATAATAGTTCAACATTGTTAATCAGAATGCCGAGTTTAAATTAAAGCTGGGTTGTAATCACTTATGTGCAAATAACCTTGAGAAAGCTATGAACCCACCTGTTTTTGCCCCAGCTATGAGTTAATTAGTAAGACTTGTATCACTGTTGTAACCTAGGGAAGGTTACTGAATACAATCAATACACAAAGGTTGGTAATGACTAATATTACTTAGAACATGAACAACACATATAAGATTCACCAGCAGCCCATAGAAGTAGTCAAGTGAATTCCACAATTAATCTCCAACTGCAGAACATCTACCAAACGTGGTCAAATGTGACACAAGGCCGAATTTAATAGGGCATATCCAAGCTCGTATGCTCATCCAAAAATTCCCCATATAAAACTGGATTGGGTAGCTGTTTCCTGAGATGAGACTCTACCTTTCGGCATAACTTTGTCTGGGGATCCACTGTCCAGAGGCAGAGACTTTGGCCAGCACAGCTGGAGATGAATCTCCAATTGCAGACCAACATACAGTATTTACTACTGTATTTATTTGAATGGGGACCCATTATCGTCCATATGTATGCTACAACAATCACTAAAACATTATTATCTCCATAAAAAAAGAACATTCTTACAATCAAAAAATATATTCTGGCTTTAAATAACCTGGAAAGGGTTGATAAGTCATAGAAAATGAATGAATTAATTAATAATAAAATATCTGTTAATTAAGTCTGAATTCAAATGAGTAAATGCTAAACAGATTTGCTAGGTTGACTGATATTTTACTATATACTGGTGACAACTAAAAAAATTCTTACAATCTAAAAATATTTTCTGGCTTTAAATAACCTGCAGAGGGTTGATAAGACATAGAAAATGAATCAATTCATCAGGAAAGGATTCACTTGCCACTTTATATATCTGCTTGATTTAGTAGGATAGAAAATATGAACAGAGAAACAAAGAAATGTACAAGAAAAGTTAATCTGTACATTATTAGAAATGTCTGATTATAAAACCTCATTTAAAAAAAATCAAAGAAATATGTTGTGAAATCTGAAGAAATGCCGACAAAAAAAAAAAATCAAAATATACAATAAATTTATAACCACATCTGAAATTTTTTTCAATAGGTTACTGTTTTTATATTCTTTTTGTTCTTCATTTGTTTTGTTCCTTTATTTCAATATTTCTCTAAGATTTTTTTTTTTTTTTTTACATTGATTAGTTTGTAACTAGTGGAGTAGTCAGTGTTGTGAAATTCTGAAATTACAAGACAGGTAGTATAGTAATTTGTTACACCAATTTTCTTCTTTTACTTTTTGTTTTGTTTTTTATTTTTTCACTGTGTCAGAAAAAGAAGCAATGATTAAACTCAGAAACATTTCTCACTAAATCTCAAGTGAGGAATTAATTCTGTCTCTTACCCTTATATGCAACTCATCAAAGAAAAAAAATATTCCCAGCAGTATGCTTGACAAACATGAAATTAAGATTTCTGGGACACATACTGTTAATGAATTCCTCTCATCTCTCTAACACAAGGAAATCAGCTCAAGCAAGATGGTATGGTATAATGGTAGCAGCTGACATCATAATGGAATACTCTGACCCATTTCCTTTAAGCTCAGTGGAACCTAGGAGACAAATCACCATTTATCTCATGAGATAATGGTAGCACCTTGTTTGGTCAAAATTCATTCCTTTGGTGGAGAGGCTGTAAGGATCTCTCCAGGACAGAAGCCTGAGTGTATATGGAGGCCAAGACCAAATTCCCCTCCCCTTGTCCATGCCAACAAGATCAAAAGGAATACAGGGCATTACACTCGGAGCCATCTTGGCTGATGAAGTTGCCAAAATTTTGTCAGTGCCAGCAGCCTACCACTTTTGGTGTTCCACTCCAGATTTTCTCTGTATTTACTTCCATGGCCTTTTCCATGTTTGGATAATGGCAGCAAAGCAATGAAGATTTAAAAATCCTTCCCTTTCATGGACCGCTTTCCTGAGTTGACAAGCTCTATTTACTAATGTCCTCATTAAGAAATTTCCATAATGTGCACCATGGAGATGTGATGAACATATGACTAGATTTAAACATAGACAAGGTTAAAAAGGTAAGCGAAAATAATGTGAGTTTGTAGTGATTTTATGTTTAATTCATGATCACAGTCACATAACTCTTTTGGGTCATAGGGGTACCACTTGTATTGCTGCCACAATAGAAGTGGTATGTTTTGGGCAAGGTTGCCTGAAGGAGTCCAACCCTCTCCAGGCTGGTTTGAAGTCAGAGTTTTCCTTCTCTTGGACTGATTGCAGCCAAGCCTATAAAACTGTCCTGATATTTACCCATATTTGAGGGGAGAAGAGATGGATTCATGGTGGAGTAATGGATTGCAGCTCACATTGAGGAATCAGAAAGCCTAGTTCAAATTCCTGTCGAGTTCATTATGATATGAAATGAATTCAGACCATTCCCAAGAATATTAGTACAAAAGTGAATGCAATGAACTACTACCAAATCAAGAAGTAATTTTAAAATTTTCTGTCATTTGGTTATATTTTGGGAGGTGTGTTAATCCCAAAACTTTTCAGTACCAAATTATATAGTGTTAATAATAATATAATGTAATCATAGATAACTTTTAGATGTATACATAAATTTTGGCATCAAATTCTATAAAATCAAAAATACTGTTAATGAGACCTCAGTTACCCACTTTTATATTTACCAAAATTACACAAAAATATTTTGAAATAGAGCAAATTTATTCAATAAAATTGCCATTGGCTTCAATAACGGCCTCCAGATGACTTCAGAATCTCCTGCAACTTTTCTGGATGGTCTCTTTGTTAAAGTTGGTGAATGATGCTATAATCCTTGCCTTCAGTTCCTCTTTGGTGTTTGTTATGGTGAAACACGCCTATTCTATAGTTAATAGACTCTCCCACCTAATATAAGTAGGAGTAGTAAGAGAAACGAGGGTCAGTCAATGTCAGACAACAGTAGTCGACAGTTAGTCAAACATGAAAGTAGTCAGCAACCACAACAAGATTGCTCTGCGTAATAACTATTATATCAAGTTCCTAACATTTTGTACGTCAAACCTATTTTAGGACCGATTTAGTACAAATACAAGCCTCCACTGTGAAATAACTCCACAACAGTGTTACAAGGAGTTTTGCTGGTCTCTTGCTCCACTGCAAACCTACACATAATAATCAAGAGGCTTGCAGTTTGGGGAGTTAGGTGGCCAGATGTAAGGAGTGACGTGGTTGCAGAAATTGTCTGACAACCATCACTTGGTTCTTCTGCTTGAAGGATCGTTCTCAGTCATGGCCTGAACTAACAAGCACACTTGGAAGTACTTTTCTTATCAGAATGTGTTTTCCAAGCTTCATAATCCCCATGAGACTCATCCAACACCTTCTGAATCTTCTGTACTGTCCTCAGATTGACACCCGGACACACTGAAATGTTCGTACTGGAGCTTCGGACATGAATGTGAAGCAGTACAGCATGCCATTTTTAAATTTCTGGCAGAGTAAATAGTGTCATGTTGTTTTTTTTTTTTAATAGATGGTGACCAACTGATTCTACTATAGTGTGCAGCTGACAAAATCAACACCGAACAACGAGCTAACATGAAATTGCAAATATAAAATGGCAACAATTTTCCCATCACTTAAGAGTAAGTATTTTGCACCTAAAGAATGCATGTTTGCATGAAACTCCAAGCTGTGCTATTGACATGGGATATTATGTATATTCACTAACATATACTTACTAGCTCTGGTTTATAACATTGAGCACTGAGAAAACATATATATGTACATGCAAGTATATGTGTGAAAACATGTTTTTTGTCATACCCATATATTTATATTGTGCGTATTTAGGCAGCATTTTTTCATTGATGCATATTTCATTAAATAATATAAACAAGTTTTGTCTATTTATTTTAAGTAAATTCCTTTCATATTGTCTGATAAGCTTAATAACATTATCATTGAAAGATGAAAGAAAAACACCATACTGATACATGTTTTTTAATCCTATCTAAGCTTTCGGCTTACGTAAGCCATTATCAAAGATGACAATTACATTTCAATATATTAAACAATACTCAGACAAAACAATAATGATAGTCTGTTTTTGTTGCATGAAAGATTTCCAAGCAACGACAAACTCGTGTATATGAAACGCAGAAGCACTGCAGCTTGTGACGTCACACATCATCATGCGAGAGTGAAAATGAGAAGTATTAAGTACAGGAAGCCATTGGTATAAACCAATGGCTTCTGTTATCAACTATAAGCATTTAAGAATATTTGTGTAGATTTCATAGTTTATTTTGTTCAGGTTAGGTTTCAACTGTTTTATATATATAGCTTCAAGAATTTTTAGTTTTTGTTTATTGTTTTCATGTTTAAGTATAGTTGTGTTTCCAACGTGGATTTTTCGGAATTGTGTATGCGGCCAGGCATGTTGTTTTAAATGCCTAAAAATGTTAGAGTTATCATTTAAATGTAGAGTCAAGTATCGTGGAAGTGAGTTTGTGGTGTGACCAACATAAATATTATTTAATCCATTGGAGATACAATCTCCCAAAGGGCATTTGAATTTGTAAAAGTATGTTGTTTTTTTGCAAATCTCTAATTGTGTGTGGGGGGGGGGCGAATCATTGAGTTGATATATTGATTTGGATATATATATATTTATATATATATATATATATATATATATATATACATATATATTATATGAAAAATAATTTAAAACTCCCTTCTCTTTTTTTTTTTGAATGGCTCTCTTTTTTTTATTAAATCTTCTTGATTGTTGTGATAAAAGAGAGAAAAAATTGCTGATTTGGCATTACTGATTGCATATGTCTGCATCATATTGACACAACAGACATGCACATCTTATTTTCTTTTTTCAATTTTTCCTTTTGCAATCAATTTTTTACTTTCCTAAATGGGAT